TAAATTAATCATACAGAATTTTTTAGTGACGTTCTATTTCAGTACCCTGCCATTGTCTCTGGTGGGCTGTCCGTGTGCATTCGATCTGAAACAGTTGCTACTTTGCTGTCGAAAAATTTCGAATGTTTACATGAAAATAGAGGCAAGTCATGCATTTTACAACCTCATAAACTGTATGAGCCCCTATTTTTACGCTTATACCTAAGATATCAAATAAAAATACATGAAACAGAGAACATTTTTAGAAAGTTTTATCGTGAGGCCACGGCCAGTTTTTAAAATATCTTTATTTCTGTTCCAGTCATCACCAAAATTACACTAAAGCCGGGCTTGAATATACAACAAATTTTGAATCTCATCAAGTACAAAAATATTTAACGTGTAACCAAAATATGCTCATGAAATCGAAATTAATAGCTAAATTTTCAAACTAGACCCTTCTCGAGCCGGTTTTCATGAAGGAAGTTCACATTTCGGCCTTTGATTCTCGGCAAAAATTTGACCACAACACGTGCGAAGCAAATGGGTCTCAAAGACTCAGCTAAAACATTGCGAGCCCCTATTTTCCTGACGATATGTTTGATCATGGGCGTACCGGAAGGAAAAAATTAGGGGGGCGGAAAGAAATTTGCCAGACTTTTCGCGATTGTTCCCCACTAGTACCTAAAAAAATTTTTCCGGAAAAATTATTTCGGCGAAATATATATATATATATATATATATATATATATATATATATATATATATATATATATATATATATATATATATATATATATATATATATATATATATTAGTAATAGTTGAGTTGATAGACACCGTGTTAAAAGATGTGAAAATAATAAAATAATAATAATAAAAAATATAAAAGCAAGTGTATGTGCGCGCAAAATAGCATTGCACTAAAATATTGCTAACTTTTTGTTCTATTTTTCCTCAGACGTTTGGGTTATTGGGTGTGAATTGTATTACTTTACTGTACATCACATGCACATCTGCTTGCTAAAAATACTGTAAAGTATACCGGTATACCAGGGGCGGATTTAGACCGTTGCAACTGTAGCATATGCTACGGTCAGATTTTCCATAGGCCAGTTCTAACATGGATCATAAAATCAATCTAAAATATAATTTAGCAATATTTTGTTTACTTTCCTTGTTTATATTTCAAGGTTTTATTTTATTTAGTTTTATATGTTCTAAAACATTTTATTTTGACAAATTGATGACATTTATAATACGTAACGTTAATTGTTTTAAGAATTCCCGCCCGAAAATACGGTTGTAATTGCCCGTTTGCGGGTCATTACGCAATGGACTATAGCTTAGAAAATATCATCCTTCAGAAATACACCGTAGCGTGTTGCCCATATATGATCAATTTTCGCTACGGTCAGATTCATTAAGGTCGAATCTGACCGTAGCGAAAATTGGCATATACGGCATTCTGATTGGTTTGCTACGGTCAAACGTAGCAAACCAATCGGAATGGGGCAAATGCTATAGTTTGCTACGGTGGCATGAAATTGGCTGCTGCTCCAGAACGATGGAATATCTGATATTTGTGTTGCGCTCATCAACAACATGCTATTGGGAACCCACAGACCACAGTACGGTTGTGCGCATTTCGAAATGAAAGCCGTCGTAAAGGATTTATATGCGTCGAGGTAGAAATAAAATCAGATAGTAAAACGAATCATTTCCAGTCAGGTAAGCGTTATGAATGATAAGAGATGCACATTATATTTTAATTTGAGTTTTTACTGTATAGTGTTCGCTATTAACTTCGCTTTATTAAAGTGTTTGTGCGCGTATGTACAGTATACCTGCATGTATTGGAATTAATACGCGAATTATGATACGCGCGTATATATATCGTGTTTTATAGCGCGCTAATATTTGTTTGTAATGCGTATATATTCGTAAGATACGCGTATTCATATCATACGCGGGTTCATATGATATGCGTATTCGTATGATACACGCGTTCGTAGATGATACGCGCATTTCGGTATTCAATTGATAATGAATGCGTATGATACGAGTATCATACCGATATCGTATGTTAAAATATACGCGAGCAATAGTTTACATTTTGAGATCATTTCGGCTTATTTTTGCTAGAGAAATGAATACAATGAGGACAAATTTAATGGTCACATGCAGTGCTCAGAACGCAGGAAATGGCATTTCCGGGCTTCAAATTTCAAAAATTTTCCGGGGGGGCATGCCCCCGGACCCCCCTAGCTATGCGAGGTCTTGGAAAATGCTACGGTCAGATTTTTGGCTGGATCCGCCCCTGTATATATATATATATATATATATATTATATATATATATATATATATATATATATATATATATATATATATATATATATATATATATATATATATATATATATATATATATATATATATATATATAGGGTGTCCCAAAAAAAACGAAATTGAAATCACTTATTGTTAAATTTGAATGCCCTACCAAACAGCTGGACGTAATGATGCGTAAAATATTGACAAGGTGCATGTATTAGAATTTAGTTAGGAATATCTCCTGGTAAAGTGCGCGATTTTCTGCTCCTGGGAATTAAAAACAGCTTCTTATACCGTTTCTTTATGCATAAAATTCACTTATGTCAATCATTTATGCACTCGTGGAAACCAACAGAGCGCTAAGGCATTCAAATTCTAACAATTAAATTGTTATTGGTGATTTCAATAGTTTTCGGGTTTTTTTGGGACACCCTGTACAGTACAGCATATGATATGGCACGAGACTGTCGATTCATCAAATTCCATTGAAAATGAACTAAATTTTCGTGCACAAACAGCGGCCAGGTCGACTTCCAAAGTTATGTCAGTTAACATTCTGCGGATATTCTGAGTTTAATTAACTAGGTAAAGAATGGCATGCATCAAGCGTGCCAGTTTTTCAGGGAATGAGCGAGACGTCTCGAGTTATAACAACTCATGCATGCAAATTTCGCGTTTACGTTCCGTACGTAAGCAATCGTATGTAAATCACCAACAGACTGCCAACTTTCGTGCGAATAAATTAAGCCAAACGTTTATCCAATAAGAGCTTGCTATTATACGGTTGAGAACGGATCGAGTGCTATCAGCCAATAGGGAACTGTAGTTTTGACGATTGTTTCGTTCAGTAATGAGGCTTTACGTTCGTTTACGTGCTTCGGTGCATGTTAACTATTTAACCTACACCGTAGCACGAGAACAAACGAATATATGCAGGTATGCAAAATTTGGTCAAAAACTGAAATCTGATTGGATTGCATAATTAATCTCGTACGCATCGGACGAGTAGAGACGAGAGCGAACGAATATGTAATTAATAAACAAGAGTTAATTTGCATGATCATGATGAGTCATGACATTTTTTACAATTTGAAAAGCCCAAAGGGAATAAAAATATAAAGTTAAGTCAAGACGTGCATGTGGTTAATATTTGTAGTACTAAAAAAATTGACACCATTGCAATAATACGCATATGACATTTTTTTAAGAAGTAAAAATTGAAGCATGAGTCCGAAACAAGTCAGACAATGAACAATGAATAAATGAACAATATAGACGAAATGGTCCAGTTTGGGATAGTGTTATACTGTAAATGCGGACATCGCGCGGGATGAACTGACGTTTTATGAACATATCCAACAACGTGCAGCTAGAGGCTGGAGCTGTATGCTAATACAGCCGTCTTGCTGTTAAAGCCCGCCGCACACGAGAGCAACTTGCTGAGCTAACCGCCTCGCAAGGCAGCTAGCTCAGCTATGTATTTTCACCGCACACGTTGGGAAAACTACTCAACAACAACATAATTGACAAAATCATTTGCATTTTCCTCCATTTTGTTCCAAGTCACATGAAGAAACTATGGTTTGTCATTGGCTACCTGATTCAAACAGCTCAGCACTTAGCTCACAACGTCCGCAGACGCTGAGATATTTTCCTCGCGATGCGAAAAATATCAAACACGATAGATATTTTCCTCAAGGCCTCGAGAGGTTAAATCCTCACGAAAACTATCCGCACACGAGAGCTACTTGCTGAGCTAACCGCCGAGGCGGTTAGCTCAGCAAGTAGCTCTCGTGTGCGGCGGGCTTAAGACAACCAGGTGGTAGAACGTACGAAAAAGCTGCCAACTGTGACAAGTAATGAGTTTGAAGCGTCGATGTTTTCTCTCAATGACATTCATGGTCGATTCTCCATTGAAGCTTTAATTACTGGCAAATATATCACGAAGAAAGTGTTCAAGACATTATTTAGCTGCATAAAATTGATAAAACTGAGATTTAGGACCTCCATTTGGTTGTTCATATACCATATAAGTTCCGTGTATCATTGTATAATATACTGAATATTGTGACAAAAGCTGACGCCTACTATAGGAATACTCGAAATTAAATTCAACTAGCTTGTTAATTTATTTTCTAAACTCGGGTAACACTGCATAAATTCAAATTGACTATTTCCCAAGAGGTTCTAACAGTATCAACTGTAAATTTTCAGTGCACTTTCCCCTTTATTTTAACAGCTTTTACACCAATTTTAAATATAAACAATTGTTAAACTTGTACTCTTTAGCAATGATTTAAAAGAAAGCAAATTAACCACTAGTCACGTATTCACCAAAGCAGTAAATTAAGATCTGGCGTTTGAAGTTTACGTTTGGCGTGTAAATTTCATGCTTGAACTGCTGCATGCTATGAGGGCTTGTATAGTCGTTAAAGCATGAAATTTATACGCCAAACGTAAACTTTAAACGCCAAATCTTAATTTACTGCTTTTGCGAATACACGATTAGAGTTAGTTTGTTTTCTTAAATCATTGTTAAATACCACAAGTTTAATAATTATTTAATATATTTCAAAGCTGGTGTAAAAGCTGTTATAATAGAGTTGTAAAATCAAAAACTTCGTTAGAGGTTTTCAAGCTAAAACTCTCTAATATTTACTCCCTGACCCTGGCACCGCTACCGTCACGGTCAATATGGCTTGATATATTTAATATAAACAACAAACGAAAGTTTACGAGTATTATAATGAGTTTATCTCATAGCCAATAGAAAACGTCTATCATACGAATGAGTACGAGACTGTCGTTCAGTTAATGAGGCTATTCGTTCGTTCTCGTGCTACGGTGCAGGTTAACTCTTTGGACTATTGCTTTTGGATTTTAACTTTCGGTGAAGCAACATTGTGCCACCGTATATTGCATGCTTTTGGCATGGACAATGCGGTGACATTTTTTGCTTTTAATGAAGCAATTCACCTTAATTTGACTTGTTGTTTTTGGTGAAGCGCATGTCCTTAATTTGTTGCTTTTGGTGAAGCGAATACCTTAATTTGACTTGTTGCTTTTGGTGAAGCGCATGTCCTTATTTTGTTGCTTTTGGTGAAGCGAATGTGTTTTATTTTGTTTGCTTTTGGTGAAGCACCTGCATTAATTTTAGCCATTCGGCTTTTGGTGAAGCCTATGAACTTTTGTCCTTTGTTTTTGTCGTGCGCGTATGTTTGAGCTATTTGCTTTTGGTGAAGCTACTACATTTAATCTCTTGCGACCTTTGGTTAAGCAAGTTGCATTTTTCGCTTTTGTAAAACAAAATTCTTTAGTTTGGCACTTATTATTTTTGGTGAGGTCCATATCTTTTGCCCTATATATTTGCGTGGCGTGCAATATCTGCAGTGTGCATCCGGGCGAGTGCCAGTGTGGCCATTTCAAGTTAAAATTCACGATAATCAAAGTGATTTGTTTACGCACACATGTCTTATTTACAAACGAGATCTCTTATAATTTTATTTTAATCCTGCTTGTATTGTCCTAGCTGTTTCACTGAGTTCTTCGTACATGTCCCATAAGTAGCAAGCAGTTTTTGTTTTGGGGGTCGCTAAATTGTTCGCAGCAATTATAGCTTGTCCATTGTATTCAATGGATTACCATACGGTGTTATGTTGGATTTGCATTTGACAGTACAATTTGTTTTGTTCTATTGAAACACTGTATAATTGTTTTTCTTCTATTACTCTTGGTGGAGCGATTACGTTTGCTTTAATTAACTCTGTTTACGTATTGTTTTCATTTGCGTGACGCGAAAAACGGTATGTGCTTTTTGAGCCTTTGTCTTGTGTTATCTTCGCATCAGCTGTTTTCAGTTAATTTAAGCATTTGTAGGCCCATACATTTGGGAATGCTTTAGTTCCACTCGTGGTTTTATAGCGCGCTCTACTGTACATTATATACTGTTGTTGCCTATGTTGGCTTTGCGACGTAACTACCTGTATATACACGGTTTCGTACTCTGTATTTCGCACCCCATTGTTTTGCTGCACCTCGCTGTTTGTTTTATGGCGAAGCTTCGGCAACACTTTATACGGCTTTTGATGCATGGTTTATTTGGTTTGGTATTACTTTTGTTTGTCCAGTCCTGCTCGTTATTATTATTTAGTTTTAAGCGGCGTTATAAGCCAATTTTTATCGGGTTTTCTCGTTATATTTGCCTACCTTGGTATTTCATTTTTCGATGCCTTCAAGGGTGCATTTTCTTTTCGGTTGGTTTGGTCTTATTGTCCTGTGGCTTTCTGCCTTGTTTTAGTCGCGAGCTTGCTCATCGTTCTATGGGCATGGTGTAGGTATACTCAGTTTGTGAATTTGAGGCCCATCAGTATTATTCTTATTTATACGTTGGGCCGTGCATTGTTCAGTTTAATAGTTGTTTTTGGTGAAGCATGAATGCATTTGCAGTCGCGTGCTTTGGGTGAAGCTGTTTGTTTTTGATTAGGCCAGGCTATCTTTGTGTTTGTTTTCATGGGTGCAGTAACGTGTAAGATCTTTGGTGAGGTACGATTTAATTTTGTCATTAGATACAAACGCTCACTTTGCGTGAAGCGAAGTGTACGATATTCCTTTGCTTGGAGAAGCTTTCATTTGGTCATTTGAAACAAAAGCTCGCTTTGGGTGAAGTGCACGATATGCTTTGGTGGGTACCAACCTCCCCTCGGCTGCGAAACTTCCGGACCTAGTTTCGCCGCACTCTACCTTTGGCTGAAAATTATTTATTCCCAATCTGAATTACCTCAGTCAAAGGTATTGTGCGGGGAAAGCGAGCAGTGAGAATATATTACAATATAACAAAAAGATTTTTGATCGGACCATTTTGATTTATCAACAGTCAGTTTCTCTCTCTATATATAAAAACAGCTTGTCTCCCTGTAGAAATTCCACCATATAA